CAGCAACAGAGCTCAATTTCTGAAAGAAGGTTAGTGATGCGTAGTATTAAAACAAAACAACAAAAAAAATATTTTTGAGAATAAAAGTTCCGATTCTCTTGGTAGTGGAGATGAATGCTCACCAGATATGTAAGCAGCAGCACCACTAAGCCTTTCCCAGCAGGCGTGGTGTGAACCATAGACCCGTGACCATTTGGCACCCATGAGTTACTGTTCTTGACAAATCGTTCTAGAAAGCAGGGAAGTGGTTCTGTTCTGAAATCTGTTTACACACATGAACTCATTAGTTCAACGGCTTTGTGAAGTGAAAGAGCAGAGCTGTGTTCTGTTAAGTGATCATTACCAGAAACTTTTTGGTGCAAAGTCCAATTATAAAGTTGTCGATGCAGATGAATGGGATTGGGAACAATTTCTATTCTGTCTTCCTGAAAAAGTTCTGCCCAGTTGTTCATACAGGATTGCCTCAGGTTTGGGGCTTGCTTGGGTGCAGTACTCTTGAGTTGTGTATTCAGGGGATTAAAAAGATGCCAGTAAGTTAAAAGTAGGACTTACCCTACTTGAATGATGAAGCATTTGCACTTATGAAAGTGGGGAAAAAAATAAATAGATTATTGAAGCATTGTGATGCTAGGACACCTCAATAGTTTAGAACATAACTTTAGATTGTGTTTCATACCCTAATACAGTATGCCTTTCAAGGCTGTTCTGCTCCAAGTTTTGCCCTGGTATTTGCTTTTCTCTAGTTTGCCCTGGATGTAGCGCTGTGGTGAGTTTACTATACTCAGTATTTAATTCCTGGAGATGATGGCATTCATTTTGCTGTGCAGCACGTTTCATTCCTTCCATCAAATGCTTGGTACTATATCCTGTTTTTCTGGAAACCTTGCCTTGAAGGGGTAACTTCCTTTGGTCTTTTAGCAACAAGTCACAGTGACACAGTAGTTCCTAGGTTCTGATTATCAATACAAAAGATTTTATCATGTCTCAATAACCATTAATTTTATTTGCATTAAAAAAAAAAGTATATGATACTGCTACATTTAGAACTTCATGCTGAAAGCTATACAGAATGCTGCTTTTTTCTCTGACTTCCTAAGTATGCAAGAACATTTTGGAAAGTATCACCAATACAGCTTTCTTTTGGATGCTTTTCTTCATGCAAAAGTGTCAACTGCCAAAGAAAAGTAAAAATAGCAAGAAAACAATAAAGAAATAGTTAAATCTTCAATCGTAGTTAGCAATGTTTTGCTTGCATTCATGCTGCATCTATTTATAAATGCATGGTCTGCATATGGAGTAACTCTGTTCTTGGTGCTTTGACCCAAGACACGGTGATACAAGTGGGAGTTTTTATGTCGACTTCAGTGGTCTCTCGACATTTTTTTTTCTTAGTAACTTGGATGTTTTTGTAAAGGAACAAATGTTGTTCCTTCCACAGTGGGTTTGGCAGGGTCACCTTGCTGGAGAACAAGCAGTTCTGCGTAACAGCTGTGGGCATAATTAGAAGAAGCTGTGTGTGGGCTACAAAAAAACACTCTTCCACGTTGGAGAAAGTGGTAGTTGCTGTGGAGTGGCTTCAGTCTGCACTGGTGTTTCCGTTCATCTGGGTTTCTTGGTCTTGGCATTGGAAAATGGATATTGTTTAGAATTGCTTTGTTGTGTCTTTGTTAGGCATGCAGAAATGCCCTAAAAGAAAGACAAAGCTTTTTTTTTTTCAAATGTGACTTTAAATATATATAATATATAAATATATAACATTTATTTATATGACATGTAACTATATATAACAAATTTAATTTACAGTTAAAAGCAGCTCCAGACTAAGGTCAGTGAATAATCCTAACGTTGGATTTACCCATTGATTTACTATTTTTTCTCTTGTTGTTTTATCACTGGATTAATTTTATAGATTGGGTATAACTTGCACTTTGTTTATTGAGACTTAAAAATAATGTTCTGGACCTTTTCCTGATGTCTGACTAAATAAATTACCATATTCTAGTAGTTTCAAGAAAACTATAAATCTCCATGCTGTGTCTTGTTGGCCAAAGTCACATCTACATCCTTATGGTCCTAAGGCCAACTGTGTTGTGTCCCTTCTATATTTTTTTTTAATTTTTTCTACTGATAGTCTGTAGCTTGCATTAAAATATATATATAATGATTTTATACACACATAATAATTACGTATGTTCCCTGCTGTTGTCAGTGTGCAGGTAGGTTTTACAATTATGCTCAAAAGGAATATATGGGACACCTCTGTGTTTCATCTTTAATGTGGTACGTGCAGTTGTGTAGACATCGATGAGCAAGCAGCTCAGCTGGCCCTGAAAGCTGGTTGGATGTGATCAGGAAGTCTTACTGTCATTAGCTCAAGCAGGTTTTTTTGCTAATGAATTCAGTTATATTTAGCAGGCTTAAGTACAGAGAGAACCAATCCATTCTGGAAGGGATTAATTAGAATCACCTCAGTTTCATATTTTGGATGTGGTTCCCAGGCAAAGTGTTGTAAGGTGGCAGTGAGTGTGAAGCCTGCCCTTGTCCAGTTCTTTGGTAACCCAGCAGCGGCTGTGTAGCACCATTCGTACCAGGTCGTACATGGAGAGGTGTGGCTGGCATCTGTGTTTGATGAACCTGATAAAATTTTAATCTTTCTGTGTGTTTTTCAAGAGGGAGAAATGGTGGTTCAGATGAGCGTTACTTGGGACTTCTTGCCTGTATTTATCCAATTGATCTCACAGCTTAAGTGTTCAGCTAGGCAGGTTTTGCTATGTTACTATGACATGATACGTAAAGGAAGAATAATGCATTTATTTAGTACTTTTAAAAATCAACCTTATGTGAAGCATAGAAAACCTTATGTGTTACCCAGAACAGGCTCTCAGCCCTTCTGGAGGGAAGGTTTTACATTTCTCACTGCTATCATCTGTCTTAGAAGAAACTGTGTGGTCAGCATTGACCTGACCTGCTCTTCTAACAATCCAGTTGAATCTGGTCTCATTGTATGCTACTTTTCTTCCTGACTTCACTAGCCACACCTGACTTCCCACTAGTTTGGTCTTTGAGTTGTCAGCCCTTCCACAGCACACAGCACACGCGGTTCGTAGGCTTCCCTTCCACAGATCTTTACTGACCTTGCTTTGTGCCTTCCAGTTTGAAGTTACTGTTGCTTTGGAAAGGATGTTCATTGGGTTATGAAATATTGTAAGCCCATGTGTATCTCAGCTTGTGGTCAGTGGAACACAGTAAAACAACTGCTTGTTCTTTGTTTTTTGAACACACCTTGTATCAGAAAGTAAAATGAAGGGAAATAAATAAATGTAGTAAATGAACACTTAGCTCAGCTGAATCTTTTTGTTAATGAAAACCATTCTGCCATGCTGCATATGAACTGGTGTTTTTTTGTTTGTTTGTTTGTTTTCCAGACAGTGAGATTGTTCTTGGATTTTAAGTAAAAAATAAAATTGAGAAGCAATTTGCCTTGTGCTAAGGCCTGCTGTTTCCAATACACATTAGCTTTTTGTAGCATTTTGAACAATTTCTTCTGTCCATTTGCTGTTGCTGCCATGCATGTATATTTATAATTTCCACGGTATAAAGATAAACTGTTGGAGCACATTATAAAAGAGGTGGCATCATTTCATCACTTAAACTTGATGAACTTGCTAGCATGGCATGCTATTTTGCAAGGGAGAAGTATGCACCTAGGTAGGGTAAGTGATGGTGGGTCCCAAGGAGTTCATGTAACGTTTGTCAGCGATGTAGCATTTTCAGAAGCAGAGTAACACCTTAAATTATTTTGAGGATTGTCTCTGGTAAATTGAAACAGAGGGACAAACTGAAGATAAAATACAAAAATATGAATTAAGTTGTCTGTATATTAATTAATTAGAAAAATACTTCTGACCATTGCCTCTAATTTTATAAACACTTAAACAGTGCTAAGCAGCAAAAACTTGAACAGCTATAGTTATCTCTGGAAGTACTTTCCAAGAGCTTGACTGCTTGGCAAGCACAGAAGAAATCCTGAACGTGTTTTCAAAATCCTACATTTGGTTAGCACCCTACAAATTAAAATGCTCTTGTAAGTGAATAAGAAACTAACAGAACTACTTTGTGAATTGGACTTCCTGCTATTATGCAATATAAACAATATTATGTGTTCGCTACAAACAATTCTGGATACAGGATACAGCTGCAGTTAAAATCCATTTTGAAAATTAGTTTAATACAGTATTTACCTTTGGTTTTCCACATTGCTAATATAAATGAAGTTCTGAGGTGGATGTTTAAGAAATACCGAGTATTACAAAGACTGTTGTGTTACCTTTAAAGCTACTTTGTTTATCCTTACCTCTGTAAGTGAGCTCAGTTTCTCGTTTTTGTTTCCCAAGGCCCCTCAGTTGTGTGTAACCACAACCTTTCAATCTTTTCTTTGCTCTGTAACTTAATGTGAATTGTGAGCAGTTGCTTTCCTTTGTTTTCTCTTGCAGTGCCAGGGCAGAGAACCTTCCTTCAGTCTTGGTGTGATATTTCTGCTCACATTAACTTACAATTCTCTCTAGCTGAGCTGCCACGTGGAGTTGATTTATGAAATTGCTTGCTGCCAACAGGATGGGAGTTGTGTGCGCATCTGGTATGGGTCAGCACATGTTGGACTGTTACACTAAAAGCAAATACAAAAGCTTGTTTTGCCAGAAGTAGCTATTGAGGATGTTTAAATATTCTAACAATCTGGAGTTTACTGTATAAAGTAAGGATTGAGGAAAACGTTTGCTCCCAGGTTAATACATGCTAGGCTTTGGGTTTGGGAGATCTTCTGGTGGTGTTCTTCATTTCAGTGTTTTAAGAGCAGTTGTTGGAAACTAACAGTCCTCGAACCAATTGACCTGGAAATAATTCCCCATTTTCTTTGTGTTGCAGTGCTTTGGATTACAGGATATATGTGCATTTTTTCAAATTACAGAACAAAATAACAGTTGTGTTTCATTGTCTTGTAGATTTTGGTGGAGCAACATACAATAATGAGCGGCGACCCTATGGTTTTTGGTTTCCACCTGAGCAGAATTCAGAAGAGGAAGTAAGAAGGCAAAGACTTCGTAGGTTTGACAGAAGATGAAGTTGGCAGGTGTTGATGTAAATTGTAAAGTGCTCTTCAGAGTTAAAATATTTGCAGATTTATTTTATTTTTACTATTCATTGCAAAACTGCAGAAGATTTTGTGAGTTCAGGCTCCAAATTTGAACTTGCATAAAAAATGAGTTGGGAATCAAAATGTGATCTTTGCCAATCTCCATTCTGATGTATGTTAAATCTGGAAGAAGACTGATGGTTTCACCAACCTTTTTCTCTTCAAAGTTATTCTTTGTAGCTTCAAGAATTCATTGGCTTTTTGGCTGCTGGTATTCTCAGACGGCAGGGTTTCTTTATTTTTTTCTATGATGGATAATAATTTTGAAATATAATTTTAAAACTATGCAATTCTTTCCTACATATTTCCCATTTTTCTATGATGAATAACTCTTGGGATTGGCATGTGAATTGTCACTTGAAACGACTGCTTTGATGACAACAGGTAGCTCATAAGAGTTGGGCTTAAGCTTTTCCGCAGTTTTGCAAACTGTGAAAAATAATTGGAGCTATTGTTATCCTAAGGAGTTACGTAATAGAACTTTTAGTGTTGGAGTCTTCCTTAAAATGTGCCATTTAGTGTAGAGCTTGAGTGTGACAAAACTGAGTTCTAACTACTTATTCCCTAGAACCAACCCTAATGTTTACCTTTTTAATTAAAACAAACAAACAAAAACCCTTGCTTTTACAGAGTTGAAATAACTTGTTGTTAGGAGCTTTATGGAAAGGAAGGTGGATATGTCATGAAAATATATTTATTTGTTAACTTACTGTTTTGGAATAACTATTTTTCCTTTTTAAAAAGGCTTAGAAATTGTATCATGTGTATGCTGTTCATGGAGCTATAGAAATTCTACTGTTTCTCTGTATGTATCTCATCTGAGGTCCAGTCCCCATGCCGTCTGCAGACTTGTGGAGATCATACCTTAATATAGTTTACCTTGAGTTTCTCATTTTCTAGAGAGCATTTCTTGACCCAACTCCAGAGTAGCTGGCAGCAGACCAGAGAGCTCGGTTGTCGCTTTGGATGGGACCTCTGTTGGCTGCTTGGCGCGCAGTGCCTGTCCTGTTTGTGGCACATCTGCCTGTTCGATGATGTAAATTAGCAAACCTGAAGGTTTTTTGAGTATCTAACATTCAGGAAAAATATTCATTGCCTAGATGTTTTTTACCTTGTAATGGAGGAAATCTGTCTGAATCTGGAAACGATCCTGTAACTCTTTTCAGTCCTGAAGAGATGTGCTTGCACAGGAATGATTCCATTATTGTCTTTCGGCACATAATTCTTTGAATCTCACCAACGCTCCTTTAGTAAAGTGTTAGGATGAGCAATTTAATGTTTTTTTATGATGAGCAATTTAATGGTGATCACCAGTCTGTGCTTTATGAAGTCTACCTCTCTATGGAGTTAGAGTGTAAAGCACTGTTGTATTTTTCATACAGAAAAGAAAGATACTGAAACTGAATTTGTGATTATGTCATGTAAGTAGAGTACACCTTCTGGTTTTAATTAATGTATGTAGGGGAAACTTTTGTTAGTTGAAAAATTCAAAAACTGTTCTTCACCTGTGCCATTCTCACTTTCACCATCTGTCTTACTTATACCTATTGCTGATTGTATGCCAAGAAGCAGCAAAACAAAAAAATTAGGCGGGGTATGTTCAAGGCTCTGAGAGACAACAGACATGGCTGCAATGCGACTTTGGATGTCCTTGTTAAGGTAATACTAAAACACTGGTGTTATCATAATGTTCTCTGGCAGATTTGAAGTCAGTAGATAAGTGATGAATTTCTGTATCCTTGGTTTTGGTTGTTTTTCAATATATGTGTGTCTTGTTTGTTATTCTGTGGCTACTGAATGTCCTGAAAAAAAAAAAAGCAGATACTTGTACCTTACTGCAGACTAACTTTTCTATGCCTTCTAAAATTAAATATCAAAAAAATGCATAGAGTTTGCATATTTTGCTCAGGGTGCAAAAATTGTGTGTGAAGAAGGACGTAGCATTGTTTCCCCAAACTGAACTTAATGCTCTGGTCAAAAGTTTGTGAAACTAAAACAACAGTTTAGCAGACAAGAAATTGTTTTAAAACACTGGATATCACTAGTCAGTTGAAAGGGCGGGGGGGGAGTAAAACCAAGAACGTGATTACAAATTTAAAAGCACTTGCATGCTTTTGTAAAGGAAGGATTAATACCAACCACATGAGGAGTAACACAGGAAGTTCCTCATACTAACAAGAGCTCTCATTTTTATTGCCATAAGTATGTCTCATACGAAGGATCTGTTTCAGTCCCCCTGTTCTTGTTTTGTCAAGCACATGCAACTAAATGCCTATAAAAACTGTCAGTACTAATAGTTGTTTTCACTTTTTCATATAAAAAATTGAAATAAATTTTTGTACACTTCAAATTGTCTGTTTTTCTTTTCAATGATCAGGCATATATTTTAAAATAGCAGAGCTGCCACAATATCGTTAGAAATGAAGGCTGGATGCAGAGGGGGGCAGATGATCAGGACTAATTTTTCTTCTTTTGAATTCAGTGGAAGTTTTTGGATTGGATTATTGGGCAGTTCCAATACACTTGGTGTTCTGCAAATTGTACCAGAATGATTCTTCAGTTGGGCCTTACCATCTGTTCAGGTTGGGAGCCCTGATGATGATAGATGCAAGTCACAGATGAATCCCTAATGTATGCTGACAAAAATTCAGGGCAGTGTACATAAATGGGTCCTTCACCTCGGATATTTTCCGGCTGTTCAGAGGCTGACTAACTATATATAAAATACGGATCTTTAAAGAAAGAGTAGTTTGGTTTAAAAACAAACAAAAAAACCTTTAACACCTGAAGTTTGGTTCCTTTGTTTCAGGAGCTGTGATTTCTTGTGAATATTTTATGCTTCATCTAAACTCTGATCAAGTACCATGTAAGAAATTCCACCCCCTTAATTAATCCTAATCAACAGACTTGTTAACAGGCCCATTCCTGAAACTTAATGATTAAATGACCAAACGTTTTACTGCTTATAAACGTTTTTTTTTTTTCAGTCCAGAATTAAGATGTGGTTAAATGTGTTTAACTTTTAAAGTTTTTTTTCCACTTCTGTTTTATCTTTAAGCAAAAGCAAATAACATATTCACGTATGTAATACTTTTTTCCTGGCAGCACTGCTTCTCCTAAGGGGTAGAGTGCCCTAAAAAATACTAACAAAATGGCATTCATACATGTCCCACACCACAGCAAGGGAGCTTGTGCTTGATGAGTGTCAATGGTAATGCTGTTCTCAGTACAGGCTGTAAGTGAGATTAAAATCTGCCCTACTTCCCTTAAATTGTCATCGCTGAAAATCAGGGTAAGTAAATACTGACAATCTTCAGCTTTCAATTCTTGAACCCTTTCTAAAGGAAAATTACTCTTTCAGAAAGTCTAAATTTAGTGATACTCATATCCATTAATTGCAAGCTGAGACAATTAGAGAAGGACAGTTTTCCACACAATTTTGTATGGTTTAGGTATTTTGTTTATACTCACAAATGGTAAAGCAACTGGGTTAGTGAAAGACAAGAGTGAGTATCCATGTGGCAGCAGTCTTCTGCCGCATGAGAACAGAGAGAAGTTCATCTCTGTTGTTCACTGGCTACTAGAAACTTCCTAATTTGCAGCAAAATGAAACGTAAGCAAAGGATTTCTAACCATGTTGACAGTGAAGCTTTGTAATGAGCTAGGGATACTCTGCAGTTTCCCTTTGTAGTCTTCTAGGAGCAGGTTAGACAAATATCTCTTCAGGAGTGTTAAACATCACTAAGACAAGAGGAAGTAAACAGTAGGAGAGCAATGGTTTGTGTCAGGTCCTTCAACAAATAATTCATCACAGGGATCGTTTAGAAGCTATTGGTGCGAAGGTTGCTTCTGTGAATCAGCATGGTGGGTAGTACTTCCCTTCCCCATGTAGCAAGTTAAGGAATGGTCCCAAAACCTCTACAATGTTGAGCGTGGAATGACTTTTTTTGCTGACTCCTTAAAATTAGTTCAGATGTATGCATAGCCTTCTCAGATGCTGAAGTGTGTATTGTATATTATTTTTCCTAATTAATGGATGGATTGTATTGTTCCTAATTAGCTAAATTCAGCTATGCTGCTAATGATGTAGCTCAATGGTTTTTGGTAACGTTTCTTTCACTTGTGTCAGTACAGTGTAATTCAGTAACAATTGATAAAATCTTTGAAATAGCTGGTGTGCAAGGGTCAAGCTTCCCACTTTCATTCTGATCAGTGTTTTGGGGGAAGAAAAAAAAAAGGAGAGCTTAGGTCAGAGCCACCTTCCTGGAAAAATTGACTGAGAATGAGCATCTAAACCAGTGATATTTGTAATCAGCGCATGAAAGACAGGATGAGGGAGAACGGGTTAAAGTTGCACCAGGGGAGGTTTAGATTGGGTATCAGGAAGAACTTTTTTACCAGAAGGGTTGTTAGGCATTGGGATGGGCTGCCCAGGGAAGTGGTGGAGTCACCATCCCTGGAGGTCTTCAGAAGACGTTTAGATGTAGAGCTTAGTGACATGGTTTAATGGAGGACTGTTAGTGTTAGGTCAGAGGTTGGACTGGGTGATCTTGGAGGTCTCTTCCAACCTAGAAATTCTGTGATTCTGTAAATCCTGCAAAAAGATCTTGCTTTTCTGTGTAGTGATACTTTGTTTTACCAAGCTGAACATGATGTAGTTTTGGGGCTCAAATCCTTTATTCCAAGTCTTTCTATAAACTACTAAAATGTGTAAGTTAAATACTGTGAGCTCAAACCTGTCTCCTTTTGAGAAGCAGCCAAGAAATACCCCATAGTGGTTGAAAAGGTGAGTTTTTCTTTGAAGTGGTTTTAGATGCTGAAGGCCATCTATGTAATACTGAAGAACCATGGAGTTGTTCTTCCTCTTTAAACTTGTATCACCTCTAATTGAACTTCCAGTACCTTCTGGAACATCTAGATGAAGTGACTAGAAAGGGGAAAGTCTAAGTATGAACAGTGCAGTATTTATTTGAATGATGAGGATTTTTTCCCCCCACCTGGCTAGTTTTCCAGCTGGTTAAATTGGGAAAAACTTCAAAGGTTGACTTTTTAAATGCTGACTTCTGAAATAGTATCCAGTTGTGAAACAGATTCCCATTTTGATGAAACAATTGCTTCACTTGCCAAAAAAGTTTTTACCACAGTCATTATCAGAAAGTTTTTATCACTTCAGAGTTGAATCAAATCCACTCTGTCCTTGTCTGACTGCTTGTCTTCACAACTGGTTTTTGAGTGATTTATTTTAATTTTTTTTTTTTTCAAACAGCTGCTCCCCACCCATTACTCTTTTAATTGACTAATCTTCCCTGTGGTCTTGAATGCTTTTTTCTTTCTTGCCCAGACAGTTGACACCAGAGGGCACGTAGAGCATTGGCACATAAGTCCTCATTTGCAGCCCTTCTCTAAGTATGGCAGGCTGGATTCAATTAAAGGTTATTTAGGGGTTGTTTGCGTAAGACCTTACAAGGCCAGGCTTCAGTCTGTGAAGTGATGTCATTTTCAGCAGCCTGTCTGGCACACCGGAGAGTTCCCCAGGTGGACGTGGTTTGTTTCCTGAGTTTGGATCTTGGTGATACTTAAAGAATTGGTGAGGGTGAACATTGTGGTCTCGTGCTGTGCTGGAGGGCTCGCGTGGTCATTGTAAGCTGGCTGTCTCCAGCTGTGTGTTGGGAAGAGTTGGCATGAAATCAGATCAGAATCAGTTTTTCCTCAAATAGTGTACTTTAAAGCTTTAGGGACATCTTTTTAATAAAGGAAACAAGACTCGGGTTGGCAGGTAAGAGACACCCATCAACTTGCACCACTCATGTTTTTTAAATTTACCCCAAACACAGGCAAAACCCATTTAGACTACAAGACTTACATATTTTTTTGACTATTTCACTGGTGCTTACGAACCAGCCGATGTAGGAAAGAGTTGTTTTGGTTAAGAGTTTACACTGGAAGAATTCCTGGAACAGTTTTGCCTAAATTTGTTGCATGTAGCAGTGCAGTTCTGGGAATGAGTCTTTAGGCATTTTTTCTGATCTAGGAATAGACAGACTGCTGCTGCTCCTGTTCCTCCACTAGTAGCCTGACAAAGCTTTATCTGCTGCCGCGGCCATGTGCCAGTAAACTCCCGGTGAGCTTTTCAGCAGGGAGACCAGCTGTGCTGCTGGCCCTGCTGACCCACACCCACAGCAGCCTTGTCCCCAAGAGCAGGTTCTGTAAAGATAACCTCGTTGGCACTTCCACACAGCCACAGTTAAACTACTGAATTCAATGGGACTTCACATAAACATGCATCTAGTTTTTATCTTACCAGCACTGGTGGACAGCACAGTCCAAAGGGAACAGGAAGCCTGTTCCCTACTCCTTGTGCCAACTTTCATCTGACTTTGTTTTCCACATCCTTTATTTTTCTGAAGATTTCAGCATTGTAATTTTGCCTGGTCAAAGGAATAAAATCAAAGGGCTCAGAAAGCTTCCTAGCAATATAGATATCTGTAACTTGACAGGTATCTGCCTATAGACATCTGTTAACTTGAAGAGGAGGGAGTAGAAGTGAAAACCAGCAGAGGGAACACCAAGGTCAGAGGAAGAGGAGGCGATGCTCCGTGGGGCACAGCCCTGAAGAGCCGGCTCTGCAGCCCGCAGAGCACCCACACCGAGTGCAGGTGCCCCAGAAGAGGCTGTGGTGTGCAGAGGAACCCATGCCAGAGCAGGTACAGTGCCAGAGGACCACGGCCCATGGAGGTGCAGTGTCAGAGCACAGAAAAGAGGAGAAGCGGTGGAGAGGAGCTGCCAGCTGTGTGCCAGGAGCCCGTGCTTTGTGCCGCCCGTTGCCTCACTGACAGGCCCGAACGCCACCTGCAGCACTAGCAGGGATGCAGGAGAGGAGTCTGGAATTAAGTTAGGCCTGGGAAAATGGGAGGAAAGGTGTTCCAAAGTTTGCCATCTTGTTTCCCAATACACAAATCAGTAATTACATTTTTAAGCTGATCGGTGATGAATTATTTACGCTGCCCAAGCTGAGTCTGTTTAGCCTGCAGCAGTACTCACCAAGGGATTTCCCTGTCTTCACTGGGATCCATGAGTTTTCTAACTCCTCTTCCTCCCGTTTTCTCCCGTCCCACATGGGCAGTGTGTCTGCGATCAGCTCCCCCAGGCATCGAGGTGGTCTGGCACTAGGGCACCTGATGACCAGGGAGCTCGGTCAGGCCCATGGAGCTGCACGTAGCAGGAGGCTGCACCTGGGGGTCTGCTCGTGGAGGTAACAGCCCCAGGTGGGCTCTGTGTGGAGTTTAAGTGTCCCCTGTTACCTCATTCTGATACCTGGTTTTGGCATGTCAATTCTGGACTTTCACTACA